CTGCTGGCTCTGATCAAGTCAGGGGTCACGGCCTGGTGGATTTAGCGGTGATTTTGCTTGTAAGCGTGCGAAGGAGGCCATGCCTATTGAAGGAGTAAATGCCTTCGGACCCCTGCGTATCACGCAGTGGGCCTGTGATTTTGTTTTGACGCACCCGTTTAACCACTGGTGCTAATTCTGAGACATATTGAAGAAAGGCCAAGCTAACGGAAAAGAAGTTAGTACCTCTAGGGCGTAACCCCATTGGATGACTGCTAACCAGCGCAACCTGGTTGCGGGACCGCGGGGTAAGAGTTTAAGGGGAGTTACCCGCCCCAGTGAAGTTACTCCGCGGGATAATGATGGTTGAAAATTTTTGGGGAAAATCCTGATTGAGTTCCTATCAGGAGAAACCCTATCGTTGCGTAACCAACGAGAATACTGCCGTTAAATAACGATGCGGTAGGCCGTAGTCCTGGTCCGATCAACCAGGCTATGGTGGGCCAAGATGGAGACCTGGCCTTTCTGTACTAGACTGCAGAAAGAGCGGAATGGATATTAAGTTTACATATATACTTATATGTATTTGATTGCAAGAGATTTTGAGAAGGAAGGCGAGAGTGCCTTCAAAGGTCTCGGTTAAGGCCCGCGTTCCTAGTTTTTGTCAGGACTAGGGACACCCAACGAGAAGCCGAAGGTTGTCTTGGATCGGGGAGAGGACGATTGGGAAGGTCTTTGGAACTTATGCTGCGAGTGTCCTAATTTCTGGACGGTGTGAGGCCCACGTTAGAAACCTGGCAGCATATAGTTGTGGAGGCATGGTTTGATGGAGGCCTCTACCCTGTGTTTGTCGGCTAATCGGATTGACTCCTGTTTCGTCAGCATTTGGAATGTGGATGGATTTATAGCTTTCTAAACTGGCGAAGCGACCGGGACGTCGCTTAATATGGTCCGGTAAGCTATCGGTGCGAATACCCTTACAAGGGTATCCGCCCTGGGTTTTGCAAGTAACAGAAAATAGTTTTGGTCTAGAGTCTAAGTATACCGCGCTAAGCGCGGCTGCGTCAGTAATTGCTTTGACTGGGTGGTTGACCGCAATAGCGAGTGCGTGGGCGCGCAGGTTTAAGGTGCGCGTGATTCTTTTCTGTTATATTGTCGTAAAGCCGGCCCGGACCTCAGTCGTTTTGCTTGGTGATATTATTATTATTTTTTTTTTTTGAATTAAGTAGGAATTAAGGATATTTTCTTTTGATTGGTACATTTGACCGAGTCGAGTGTGAGTGCGGAGAACGACTCCGACGACGGCATCGACAATAACGGTGCGATTTCGTGCGGTGAGCAGGATGTCGCAGGATGACGCGCAGGGGCAATTACGGCATGGTATAAGCAAGCCGGCGCGGGCACTGGGAGCCGCGCAGCCGGTTTGTTGGCCCAAAGCGCCACGCCACACCGTCTTGTATGGTACTCTTCGAGCGCTGATATCAGGCTTGGGCTTAACCGTATAGGTTACGACATTGGGTTGACGATACGGAGGTTCGGGGATCGAGGTTAGCGGGCATCGGCGCAGCAACCGCAGCGGAGCGGCGCGGAAGGGACTAATGGGGTTGAGGGTCCGGCGGGGCTACCCTCCTCTGATTTTATCGATGGGCACGATCTGTAGGGACGCCCGTTAATTTCCCCGTTCTGGTTTTATTATTATTTTTTTTATCCTTTTAAATCCCCTCCTTATTTTTGTCTACTCGCGTCCCGCTCTGGGGCGCGATGTCGAGCCTAAGGCTGGATCACGTGAAGTATGTCGCCTGAAGTGCAATTACAAACTGTTTTCGTAGTGCTGTGGGTGCGGTAGGCACCCAAGAGCCTAGCCTAGTGAGGTACACCCATGAACTGTTGAAATACAGACCGCGCTCGATGCCGGATGGGCGGGACCCGATACTCTGAATTGCCTGGGTCTGCCCAGGCTGCGGTCAGGCCAAGGGTGCCACCTCGAGGCTGTCGTGAGGCCTGAGTCCTTCGAGACATCCGCTAAGGCAGGGCATGACTGAGAAACAATGCGCTATGGGCGACGACCTGCATTACGGGTAGCAGAGAGGGACCGAGTGAAGCGTTGTGGCAACACGAGAAACAGACGAATCTAGCCCAGTACTGCGCCGGATGCTTACAGGGCTAGGACAAAGAAACGGAGAGGGGCCGCGGCATACCGATGTGCCAATCGGTTGTTGGATTACCGCCCTACCCCGAATAGAACACCCGGTCACTTTGTATGTATTTGGCCCAACCGTCAGTCCAGAGGCAGCGGAAATGACAGTGCGTTATATTCGGGTGAAGGCGGTAGGTATAGGGGCAAAGACTAATCGAACCGTCTAGTATCTGGTTCCCCCCGAAGGGCCCTCAGGCCGNACAGTGCGTTATATTCGGGTGAAGGCGGTAGGTATAGGGGCAAAGACTAATCGAACCGTCTAGTATCTGGTTCCCCCCGAAGGGCCCTCAGGCCGGCTGGCTGTCGGGCAGGCGCTGGTCGGTGTAAAGTCCTTCGGGACATCTGTTAAGATTGGAACGATACAGGGCAGGTTGGCAAGGGCCGCGACACCGGTAACAAGTATAAAACAAGGGCGGGTCGACAACCGAAGTTTTCTTTAAGAGGTGGGGGCTGTCGGACCACGCGGTGAAAGGTTGTGCGACGGGTGACGAGTCCGGTTGGACTGGGCTAGCAGCCGCGGGCGCAGTGAGGCGGATAGCGAAGCGGAGCAACAAACAGCGAAGAGCCAAGCGGAGAGGAGAGCAGGGTAGGTGGCAGCGCAGGCAGGGAGAGCGCTGTGACGGGAGCAACGACGAGCTGGGCGGAGAGCGACGGGGGATGATGAAGAGAAGGAAATGAACCTGGACGCGGGCGACGCCAGATGCATTCAACGTTGAAGGGGGGAGAAGATGGACATGGCGGAGGGGAGAAGCACTTACCTCGCTTGATTCTTGATAGAATCGAGCGGAGAAAAGTGCTAGATCGGGGTTTTTGGTGCTCGCGACCCCGATTCTGCTGGCGGATTTGGA